TGAACTTCTGGCATCATCCTCTGTTAGGTAATCTGTGACAAAATAGAGAAAAGGCAACTTCACACATTGGCAAGTAATACATGTATGTATGTATGTAGCAGGTGCCTTTCAGGTGAAATCCCAGAGGCTATAATGGAGTACAGCATGTGGCATTCTATATCTACTCGAGTTTCCCACCTTCGTTGTCGGAGTCAGGTCTGTCGGAGACTGCCAGGGGGCGCTCCTGCTCCTCCAGCTCCCGCAGCTGCCGCAGGAACAGCTCCATCACCAGCGTGAACTGCAGCTCCTTGTTGTTCAGCCAGTGGACTACAAACGACTTGTCCTCGTTGCTACCGGCAACCACGGGCAGGAGGGGAATGTCTATAAAGGTCAAACAAGAGTGTGACTGTGAGTCCTCTTTGTTACATCCATAATAACAAATATTTCCATTTGTCATATCCACTTCGTAAAATCCTCAGTGAGAGAAATAGATTTTTGAATGGAACCAATAGGGTACAACCCTAAGGCTGACCTCCAAGCTACATGTACATCGTGTAGCTATTACCTAACTCATGGTAAACCTCCAGTCCAAAAGTAGTCCTCAAAACATACCTGTGCTGAGGTTGATAGTGACTGAGAGGTGGAAGTGTAGGGTGTTGAGTGCAGGCATCTCCCCTGACAGAGAGTGTCTCTGTGGTGTGAGGGTGGACTGCCCTGATGTCAGGTCCCCTGCTGGATGGGACTGTCTTCTCTTCACCTTAAGGTTATGTCGGATCTTGTTCTGCAGAGGGAAGAATAATACCATTCCTATTAAACACTTTCCTTTATAGGATTTTAAAGGATGTTTCAAGAACTATGATCACTGCAGGGCTTGAAATGTTACCCACAACAACTTTTTCAGACAATTTTCCCTTTAACAGCTCAGAAAATTGTAGGCTAATGGCATTATTTGTGGCTTCAGTATTTGAAAAAAAATTTTGTTTGCAGGAAAGGAATTAAAATGGAATTTCAAGCCCTGTAGCAGTATAAGATACATGTAAGAACCACTTGCCTAAATACTGACTAAACCACAAAACCTTTTTATTCACAAGACCTTTCACCAAGACCCTCAACCCACACTTGGACAATCATGGACATCATCATGCGATTGGTTTGGACGTGGGAACCTTTTTCTGTGGACGTCCCTTTCTGAGAGTGGAGAAGAGGAACTGAAAGGCTGTGGCCTGGATTTCCTGTGTTACGTTCCTGAAGGGGACGGCCACCCTGCGATTGTTCACTGTTTGGAAGACAGGTTTCTTGGCAGGAGGAAAAAACAACACAGTGAAATGAAAGAACGGAGGCTGTGAACACATCAGGGTAAATGAAAAGAAATCAAGACAAATAACTTCAACCAAATGTAAGAATGTATCCACAAAGTCTATACAGTAGCTCCAGGCTAGGATTCAACTATGCTCTGCATTGTTGTGAGCTATTCCACAATGTACAAGTCATGTTGAATATGAAAAATATTAGTCTTTGATACCGGTAGTTATGAATACTAAAATAAATAAGGCAAAGATTCAGCAATGCTATCAACTCCCTACAAAACTCCTTAATCTTCTTCAAAAAATGAGTGAACTAAATGTATTAGACAGGCTAGTATGTACATGTAGTGTCCTGGAATTACATCCATCTAAAAAATGGGCTATTTGACACAATTCACAAAAAACTGTTTAAAATTTGTTACTCCTTTCCTGGGTCAACATCATATCTAATGCCCTTTATCCCAGATTAGGGGAAACTTACAAAAAGCTGTGCTGTGTGAGCGAACTTGGAGGTGTGGCGCTGTGGGGCTGCCTGGTAGCTCTCTGAGTCGATGAGGCCGCGCTCCTGCTGCGGTAGTGCCAGGCTGTGCTCCGGGAGAACCGTCTCACACCAGATACGGCAGATATTGTCACGACAGGAGGTCACCAGGCAGTTGGCTATTGAACCCCTGAGAAAAACACAAATTGAAAAGTAAGAACGTGTGAAGATATGACTATATGGAAGTTATGTAAATCTTACTTTATATTATATATACTTGAGTAACTGTTTTTTGGCTTACTTTATATTGTTTATTTATAAGGTAGAAATTGATTCTTCCTTTGGAACAGATCTCCAGGTTCAAATCTCCTACAAGCTCTGATGTTGTGCCCCCATGTCAGTCGTACCAAGGGATAAAAAGACTTCTTCAATACCAGACTCCAGTCTAGTGCTAACAATACATTCCTGCCTTGGTAAATGTTTCAATCTTCAACACTAGTTTTCAAAGGTGACATAAGACCTTCATTACTCAGGAATGAACTTGCTGGTGTGACAGTGTGTTATGCCAAAGGGCAGTTATACTGGCTACATTCTTACTTGGGCATGTACTTGGGTGTGTGTCATGTGTTATACTGGCTACAAATGTACATGTATAATATTATGTACACAGTAACAGACAGACATGAGTCGTCCTTACTTGGGCATGTACTTGCTGGTTCGTCTCCAGGAGAAGCCGGTGACGGCCCGGGGGTGGGCGATGTAGATGAAGGAGTACAGACCGGTTGAGACCGGTTCTTCCCCGCCGCCTGTTTTCCAGTCCTGCTGCAGGCCTGATCTCCACTGCCGAGAGTCAAACCAGATCTTCACCAACCGATCCTCCTAAAGAGAAATAACAGACAAGTCAAGGAAACTTGCAAGACATCTATAATGACTAACTGGCAAATAGGCATGCAGGTGATATACTTTAAAGCAAATCAGGTGAGAACTGACACTGCCTGGTGTAGAGGCAGGTGTACTTCCAGGTGTATTCTCAGGTGGCCATACCTTTCCAGCTGAAGCAAACAGCTGCCCATCAGGTGAGAACTGCAGGTGGCAGACAGCTGTAGCTGTTCGACACTGCCAGATACATGCCCAGGTGCTCTGTAGTTCTTCCACTGTTCCTGCCACCGAAGAGGGACAAAAAAAGATTGCCTTTCTTCACACTTATTGTAGACCAACTTAACTCAGTACAGAAATATTGAACAACAAATGAACGAATCATGTGAAGAGCTTCATCCTGCTTAGGTAGTTTTTGGCACTACATTTGGATTGGTTGTGGGATAAGCCTGCAGGGGAAAGGTTAAGTTCTCCCTGCCAATTTTGGAGCATCTTATCAGAGCATGATGAAATCCCTCACCTGTAGCAGATGCAGCATCCATCTCCTCCTCCTCCTCCATCCCATCAGCCTTCTCCATCAGGTCAGGACAGCCCCACAACTGGATGGAGTTACTGCCCACCAACAACCTTGTACCTGACCACACACAGTATACTTAGTAAAAATTGTTTTTAGATCAAAATATGTAAATTCTTATACAAAGACTACATTTAATATACCACTATAAACAGTTGGCCACATGTATTATAACTTAGAGATGACTGGCCAAACTTGTCTAGAGACCGCTACAGGTCCATGGCTGTACCTAAACCCAAGTACACTGTAACTAATCTAAAAAAACCTAAAATATTTGGGTTACCAAGATGTAAGAACTTGTAAAATGTAAGCCTCTCCAGCAGTTTGTGACGATAGTCTATAGATAGTCACCCTGCCCCACTTATCATGGGAGAGAAGGCTACATAATACTCAAGTAAGCCTTTTCTTATCTAAGAGATAAAGGTGGCTCAAACTGTTCCTATTATAGGTTGTATGCTGCCTGCCTGTTAATGTACCAGTCCAACCAACATGTACAAATGTTTGCCTAAAGGAGGACATACTTGTATAGTGTTGACTAATTAATCCTCGAATTACCCCTTGAATATGCACATGCAGGTAAGATTGGAATAGGGGACAACTGATGCAATGGTGCAGTAGTTTTACCAACTATCATCACTATCAAAGGTTTTCAACAATGATATGAAAAGGTAAAAATTAAACAGTTGAAACTGTGTCTCCTTTTTCTTGCATGATGTTAAATATTTAAACCACTTGGGTTGCACATGTAATTTTTTTATTGCCCCAGGTGAAGTTGACCCACAAACGGTGTTCGAGCTCTGTTCATCATTTTTACCTCTGAAAAGTCTTGGCAAGGCGTAACAATTATCCACAGCGTATTAAATGTTGAGCAGAAAGTTGGCAAGGTTAACTGAGACGGCATATGTCTCAGTCCACTTTCCCCACATCCCTAATTAGCCCTAACCCTGAGCTGAGGTGAACACATCCATCAACTCTGCAGGAGCAGCTCACAGGGACTGAGGCCACGCCAAGCTAGTTCTCTGGCTCTCAGACATTTTAAGGTGAAAACATAGCAAGTAGAAATCATACAAGCAAAGGGCAGGACTTGAGCATGAAATAAAAAATGAGTACACAAAGGCTTAAACCTGGTGCGCAGGCTTTGTTTTCATCATAAACCTCAATCATATTTTTCAAGTTAAGGCCTACATTTCTTTTAAAATTGAGAAGCAACAAATTATATTCATGTGGTGTGAGAAACAGCCTCCTGCTCTCACTAATATCTGCCCCTGACATCACAAGCCTTTCAGCATAATTAGAAATGTTACAGAGTGTGCGCTCTCACTGCAATCAGGCATATATCCTGCTCTATACCACACACTACACCCAGCTGTCGGGCTAAACTTTACACACACATATAAGGAACAGAGGGAAAGGAAAAGATCATTGATATTCTTGACTAAGGATATTTTTGTATAACGTGCAAGTATATTTTCTTTTACATCTTAGACATCCAGAATAAGAACAAAATAGATCAACTGCCATGATGATTGAACTTCTTCACTAATGAAGATCATCCAAATTTTTTTGGATCATCCAAAAGTCTTTTACTATGAAGGTAGCTTGATCAAATGTCAAGTTCCGTGCTTTATACAACATTTCTGGGTACCGGGTATATTGTATTACACACTTGATTTGCAGTCACTTGATTTGCAGTCACCATGTCATGGTGATGTATAACATGTGAGTTATGTAATTCTTTTCATGGGAACAGCCAAACATGTAGTACTATGTAGTACTACATGTTTGGCTGTTCCCATGAAAAGAATCTCATAACTCACATGTTATACATCACCACAGCACCATGATTTGCCTCTCAAAATGCGGGAAATTACATTTTTGAAGGTTTGAAAACCCAAAATTTCCAGGGTGAAATACCCCGGACCCCCTAGATACCAGAATACGATGATGAACCTGGGCTGATGGAAAAAAAGAATTTCAGGCTGGCTAGAGCCTTGATTCAAGTGCAGGCCTTAGAGGGAACAACCTCTATCACGATATTCTGGTGACCAATTAGAGAATGGCTGACAAACTTACCATCATGGTTCCAGGAGAGGTTTGTGACAAGAGAGTCCACACTGAAACCTCCCGTCTCCTGCCACTCCATACCCAGCTTCTGGAGAGGGAACAACAACACAAATAAACAAACAAACAACTGTCAGACATGGGGGGGACTCATGGATAAACTTACAGTGTCAAACAGACAAAATTTGCAGAAAAGTTTGTGTGCGAATGCAAAAAACGATGAACAGAAATTGCAAATTTGCCATAACTAATCAGGTTCAACATCATGAATTACATACTGCAGGTATTAGATTTATTTTGAGCCCTTGACGAATAAAAAGTATATATTATTTAGATATATGACACTGGCTTTCCACTGAGAAAAGTGGTGTTGCCAGAATACATGTCATTCAGCCCTCAGGACAGAACAAGTGTTAGCACAGTTAGTGATAACAGAATCTGTGTCACTGTCAGTCAGCCACCTTCAACATAAAGGTCATTTTGACATATCAATACCTTCATGAAGGTCATTTAGCACCGAAGGCAACAATACAAGCACAGCCTTGAATTCAGCACCATGGAAAGAGTTCTACTGTTTATTTTTCTGACCTGTTGCTTTATGTTATGTTTTATGAAAAAAAAACTATATATGCTGTGGATATAGGCATTATTGGGTTGGAAAAGGTGTATGAGGCAAAATTTTGATATCTCTACAATATTGCACGACACCGAAAAAATTTCCACCACTGCCCATAGTGCATCAATGAAAGTTGTATCTGACAATGACCTCACTGGGACAACTGCCTACAACTTGGCTTTGACAGGTGGCCCCCCTGGGAGAGGCAAACATACCAATTAGTACCTACATCTCAGCTCTAACAATGACCCCCCTGGGAGAAGGGATAAGCAGATTTGTCTGCAAGGAGCCCAGAATAGGGGGTGCGTACTTTGATCATTATCAGGAATTTAAGATCATCATCATCATACATCTGGAAGAGATCCGGTGAGGTACATTAGATAAAATCATCTGGTACTTTTTGTTCTTCATGGCAGACACCAGGGCCCTGTGAGACCAAAGTCTCTTTCAATCATTGACAATAAAGTAGTATCACTATGTGGTCTTCCAACTCTTTTTCAGTGGGAATCTAAGGTAGTGTATGCTTACTGTAAGAGGACTCTGATAATTGAATTGTTTTGGCCCTATTGAAGCGTGATCCCCATCCCGGAAAGTGTTCCCATTAATAATCAGGTCATCTCTGCAGTATGGATCCCTGGGAAATGGCCATAGTCTGACCACATGTGTCACAGAGGTCACCTCCCTGGCCGGCAGTTTGGCACAGCTTCAACTTCAAGGGTGGAGGGAGGGACTGCATCATGGCACAAACACAAGGCCTGCACTCTTAATGTTTCAACAATAAAGTAGTAATTTGTTCCTGGGCTTAAATAGTGTGTAAAGGAAGAAATGCCTTGAGTTCCTACAATTGACCAGCAGGTACATTATGATGAGGCCACACCAATTTTACTTCTGGCTTCTTGGATTTTTTCTTCATATTTCATATCTGTGATGTAATACTTATTGTTTTGATCCATTTGTCATGTTACAATAATGATATACTGTCTAATATTTCATATGTGCTGAGATGTGTCCAATTGTGTTGAGACTGTCACCATCGCATTTTAAGCTGGAGGAGGATGGAATGTTGTTACATCTGGCACCGTTCTTCTTCAGACCTTCCGTAACACTTGGGCAATAAACTAATATATGGACTGACTGCTTCATGTCTCACCTCAGTCTTCTGTAGATGCCTGAGAGGCTATGAGTTGTGGCAGTTGGCCAGGGAATGGGGATCAAACGTCTGGCCCAGTGGCTCACAGCCACAGAAGTGTGGTATTGGTCTCTTCACGGTCCAGTACTCTGGTAGAGACTAAGGTTATAAATCATGCCCGTCACCATCTGGTGTTTGGGATGTTCTGTCTGACTGCTTTGTTGGTACATGAGAGGCTACAGAGAGTTAAGAGTTGGAGCAGCACACTTCCAGCTTGATAATGAGTCCGCTGTGCTTTCAGACAAGATTGAGTTATGCATCACTGTCTGCTGGCTTGAGAAACCTAAAGTACGCATCCCCTCTATATTGATCTTGAACACATTTTGAACTGGATAAATTCAAATCCATGCTGTTTCTCCTCTTTTCCCTGAGAATTCTGCTTCAATCAAAGACTTCTACAAGATACTCTTGCTTGAATTCATTTTAAAAAATGCTGTTTTCTTTTGTAAAGAAAATGCTAGTTTACTCAGCTTGGAATGTTTCACTAGTAGCATGCATGGGCAACCAGGAAACTCAAAAGCCTGTCTTTTTCAAATTCTTGCATCTATCACTTTCATTTAGTTTCAAAAAAAGACAATTCCCTGTACATTTCATGAAGAAAACAATCAGTACTCACAAGAATCTGTAAAAAGACTGTACCACTACTAAAAAGACCATGCTGGAAACATCTTGATTCCATGGTTTGCTTGACTTATGCATACGCAAACCAAACTGGCCCATTCAAGCATGTACCTGTCATCCAAAATTGATGTCTCCACAGGCTTAAAACTTATGTGTTGATTATTAGCTGGGACTGATCATGAGCCGTGTGTCATTACAACTCCAGCTGGCTACAATCACACTGCCTGTAGGCAGCCATCTTTACTCTGGACAGAATTTCAGCTGTACTTGGCAAGATATAGCTAACCTTTTTTGACAGTATCATTAGTAATTTAATTTGCATGCTTCATTGCATGAACATATTCTTTACTTAAGTACTCTAGTGTCTTGTGTAAACATGTTCTATGCTGTCACAAGCCTTTGTCCTGCACTGGTTCATTAGCAGGTTTGTGTTACTATTCTAATTTATGCATGCAATAACCTAAAATTAGTAAGCAGCCTGAAGATTTTCAAAAGTTTAATACTGTAATCAGGAATTTGTGATACAGATTAATGAGACATGATTTTTATTTCATTTCATTTATTCTTTGTTCAACCAGGAAAATGTGTACTGTATTGTCACTTTGGCAGTTTGCATTGGTCCCTGGGGCTACAAGCAATAAAATATTACTTTTATTTCCAAAATAAATTTTCTTCCTTCAAACTTTGTCAACTTCATTGATTTCGTGTGCAAATCAGACACTATAACAGGAGCAGTGTCTCATTCTTGAACAACCAATAATGAAACAATCTGACTGAATGCAGGAGACCCATTTAATATGATTAATGCTGTGATGACCAAATTGTTGTGAAATTTTACCTGACAGCTCTAATATTACTGGGAGAAGACAAACAGTACTTATTCTGCATCTACAGAAATTTGTGACTTGGTCTGAAACAATTAGTTACACCAAGGTAAAGACTGGAACAACAATGTTGGTGAGCAGAGTTTTCTTCTTGCCCCACACCGTGAAACTGACATGACCTACTTTTAAAAATGACAAACTGCCCATAAGAGATAAGAATAATGGGGAACGTTAGGCTTCAGAATAGCTAGTGATAAATGTGACAAGGTAGGGCTGGAAATATCAGGCACATATACAATTTTGGGCACGCAAAATTGAAGCTGTGCACCTATATAATTTTTTGCTATAGGAGGCTTGTGTGCTGAGTATCACGTTCAATGGATGGGTCATCCTTGGTTTGTCATGGTCGGGTATTGGATACATATAGAATACAACACGGGGTATTCCGTATCGCCCGAGGTACCAGCCCGACCGCGCGTCGGATCGCCCGACGGCCGAAGGCCGGAGGGAGATCCGATCCGCTGGAGGGCTGGGACCGAGGGTGATGCGGAATACACCGTGTTGTATTTTATTTATGTCATACCCACCCAAGAAAACGCGCCTTTCAATGCGAAATGAGCGAAAATTTGGTGTCCCTAAACCCAAAAAAATGCGACAACATCAATTCCAACGTCCGAATTTTGTATTCGAATTTCGAAATCGGTGCACGCGGTTAGGCCGAAACGCGTTCGAATCGTTCCACGGAACATTTGGAAGGCCCGGGCCGTACGCGGTAAGAACCCCCGGGCCGTACCGCTAGTTATCACACGGGCCGGAACACCCGTATCGAACGTAATCGCGGCCCAGGTAGGACATAAATAATTTTACCATGTGAATGAAAACCAAGCAGAAAGACTGACCAAATGAAACAAGAAGTAAGACAATTCTTTACAGCTAATAAACTATTACACAATGTCTCCTGTCCATTAGAAAGAGCTCATGATACATTACAATTGTGGATCAAAGTCCAGTACTATTACTAGTACACGTATTAGCATTAGTCCAATTTAAGTCACCAAGGTGACCAAATTATTTTCTGGAACTGTTGTGTATCAAATGGTTTAAGAGCCATTCCAAGCCATTCAAAACATTTTTCTGGGAGTTCCCAGACTTCTCAGCTCTTGTAGCCCCAGATAGAGTAGAAACACATGGAAAGGCCAAGAGCTGCAGCTCTACTTGAGCTGATAACAAACACAGGAAATGGTGAGTAAGTAGAAACATGAACTTTGCTTAACATTTTCTGAGGTTGACTGAACACCTGAGACCTGACCGTGATTTTAACTTTGGAAATCAGAGTTCAAAATACCCACCTGCCACCTGAAATTTGCATTATAAAAATGAACTTAAAGCATTAAAATGCATTAAAAAAAACTTGCAACTGAAGCATGCTTGAAGAATATGGGTTCATAATATTATGAATTCCATACTACAGAAAAACAGAACCAAAGTATGAAATGTATTCCTGGCCCTGGACATGTTCCAATGCCAGTCAATTGAGTGAATGGTGGGGGCAGGGCAGTTTTAGTATGATTAATAACCTGGGCTCTAGCCGGGGGAGGGGAGGTCAGGGTACTAAACTACAGGGCCGCACGCTAGCATGGTAGCTGCAACAGGGCACAATCACTGAGCAATCCATACCACGTACTCCTGAATTCTTCTGCTATTCATCATGTTTATTCATTTTACAGATCATAATAGCAGTGGGTTATTTATTGTAGCAAACAAATATCTGTATAAGATAGATCAACTATTATTACAATTACATGTACCTTTAACCACTGTATGTTTTACTTCCTAAAGTTTAAAGCAAAACAGACTCAATGTCACTTGCATGACATTTTTCAAATCATTACTAGTTACTGTGTGCTGAGCGCTGGTCACCACAGGAATTCCACATCACCCATCAACAGGCAATCGTGCGGTAATGAGGTCACAGGTGGGGCATAATGACAGCCCAAGGACACTTACAGCCACTCACCTTCAGCCTGCACTGGGCAAACTTAACTTTCTTTTCTCAAGATCCTGCCTCCAGTTTTATCGTGATTTAAGATCTGGCAACAAGACTGCTTACCCGTTTTAGGAAGCCATAAAGCAAACTAACACGACAAATTCAATTCAGGAGAGACAGTTCAACTCAGAAACACAAAGGTCAACAGAAACTTGTAGAGTGCAGTGTACAAAATATTTTTTTGAACCAGGTTGCCCAGTGGGCAACCTACGGCAAAAATTAGGTTGCCCATCAGAATTTTAGGTTGCCCCACCTATAAGTTACTAGTAGGTTCATCAAATTGTCAGTAATGTTACATACATAAGCATTTGACAATACAGCCTTTAGTTAACTGATACTAGTAATAGCCATTAATATCTAAAATTAAAAAGCATCTGCCGGATACAGTGGTGCAAGCCAAGTGGGCATGATTTTTTTTAATTCTTAAAATCCAAGTAGCACACTGGGCTACCTAGGTTCAAAAATAGGTTGCCCCAAGTAAAATTTGCAGGCAACCAGGTATTTTGCACGCTGAGAGTGAGACATTCTGATTCAAGTCTTGTACAAACTGCACTTTGCAAATTTGACTCAGCCAACATAAGTTTGATGCCAAACATACAGTGTAATGTGTATTTTTCCATTTTCACAGCAAGGCAGCAATGCAGTCTGTAGAACAATAAACAGACATGAATTGGCCTGACTGTTAGAAATCAAAGTCTTCAAAACCAGAATAGCACCCAGTGTCTCGTATTGAAGATGAAGATTCACAGGTGATGTCAAGGGGATACAGAATGGTACAGGGGCACATAAAATTCAGCAGCATGGACAGGTAAAAAATATTAATTTTCAGCAACCAGTGCTCTGAAACTGCTAAATGATAGTAATTCTATGTGGAAAAAAGAGACTCAAGACAGTAAGAATGAATTAAATGGAAAAAAGGAAAAGAAGTAAACATTCACATAGTATTCAGCACCAAGGACAGGCACAAAAGAGTAATTATCAGCAACCATTGCTCTAAACCTACTTAACAAGTCATAACATTTTGATTTATTTTTGGAAAAAAGCAATTTGCATGAGAGAAATAATGACCAATTGTGAATAAAAACATAAAAAAAGCTTATTATAATATAAGTTCAGGGACTACCCTGAAGATTCATAGATAAATACATAAATGTAAACATAAGAACTAAACATTCTCATGGCATTCAGCACCAAAGACAGGCACCGTATACTAACAACCTGGGGTTAAAGAGGGGACAAAATGCAGGGCTCAAAATACCATATGCTATGCAAGTCAGCACATGTAAATGTGGTGCTGTGCACGTAATTTCAGACCAAACTTGCACTGGTGAAAACAAATCTTAACTCCAATATATCCACTGTCGGTGGAAACAAGGCCTCTTGTTGAAAGTGCCAGTGGGCTTACTAATTTTGAATCATGTAAAGTCAAGCAAAAATTGTGATGTTGTGAGTGACACAAAACCACACTCTGATTGGAATTTCAGGTAGAGTGACTCGGAACAAAGGACACTGACAGAGCCATGACTCGCATCATCAGTTGGGAGGGACCGGTCCATTGATACTGGGGAGGGGAGGACAGGTACATTTTTTCAACCAATTCCACCAGAATTTTTATATATGTTGGTTCACTTACCTTAACAAAAAATATCAATAATATTCATGCATGCATGTATGATAAAACAGGGCCACCAGCCGTATGTCCCATCTGAGAAGAAAAGGAGTAATAACAGAAGCAGAGAACTCATGTTCACCAGAGTGCAGTGAGGAAACAAGGGTCAATTGCCTTTTTCCAAGTACACAACACAGGGAATTGGACCCCAAACCTACAGAAAAAGTCAATAACCCTACATCATCCAATTTCAGTTTCCTCTTGTACCTTCCACAACCCTGTCTATCTATTTATTTATTTATTAAGTTTGACCACATTTGTGGAATGATTGACATAACAGGTGACGATCACTGTTCAAGATGTCAACCCAGAGGATATAGCTGTAAAGTGCCTTTCTCAAGGACACAACACTGGGGCCTGCCAGAGAAGGTCCCAGTGTTCAAACCCAGAATCTTCAGATTCAAGTCGAGAACCCTAACCACAAGACCACAATTGCCATCCACTTATTTCTTGTCATATAAAGCCATTACCCTGGACACCCCCGAGGGAATCTCCCCAGTGGACCCATCCATACCCCACCTTACACCTGCAGCTGGATGTGCCTGCAGGGGTCCAGCTGAATAATTTACACCCTGATACTAATCCAATCACACATCCTGCGACTTTATAGGTCACCCTTCAACCCAATTCTTTACCTGCCTTGAATGGATATTTACCCTTCATCACATGTCGGGGCTTGACATATTTCAGTGCTGTTTTCTGCAAGATCTGATTTGTAGTACATTCTTTAAGCGTGCCAAATTGTAAGCTAATCAGATTTTTTCTGAATTTAATTTTTTTGCAGAATCCAAAGGTAAACGAACCACATTCTGGCCAGCAAAAAATTCTATACATATAATTTGTTGTAAGTATACATGAATAGCTATTTGAAGCAAACTTGTATAGGACTGCCAGGATGTAGGCAAGTTGAAAGAAGCTTGTACCTCCACAACTGCTGAGATCTGATCCTCAGAAAACATCAGAGTTGACAGTTCCCCCGTTAGGACTGTAGAAGCTTCCTTAGAACCCAGAAGAAGGGCTCCATTTCTAATCAACATCAACTTTCCCCAGCTCTGCGCTGCTCAGGCAGCTTACTGCAACTATCAAACTTTATGGAGCGTAACCGTGGTAACCGCTAACATGACGCAAATGCGGGCGCGGTGCCTGGCTTAAGGGATCGGACCCAGTTTTCTGTGTCAATTCATTCTGCAGCCTTTCGGGGGAACCCTAACCACCCATCAGGGCATTCGCTCATTTTCTGCCAGTCAAAAGGAAGTCGAAAAGGAAATTTACAGACTTTCTTATCAGTAACAAGCTGCCACACAGGATTATACAGTTCACCATTTACTGGTTCTCCAGACTTATTGAAATACTAAATTAAAAACATGAGATAATGTATGAATACTGCATGTACATGTACAATACATCGGAGCCCTAAACCTCATATCCACAAGCAGGGCTGGAAATACGGGGTAAATATGCACTTTAGTGCACCCAAAAATTGGAGCTATGCACCTAATCTTTAAGTTTAACTCTGAGCGCTAGATAACAACATGGGGAAAACACATAGATACTGGGTACAATTGGAGCCTTAAACGTACTAACCGCAAGAGAAAAAAAGGGCTAAGAATAGTTAACAAAATATTGAAAATGATATGAAGAGCAGCCATCGTCAGCAGCCATATAAGGTGGGCCAATTTTGAGTCATTACCACCTGAGTCACGTATCAGATATTACTATAAAAGAATGATTGATGTCCTGGTGCTTTAGCTGTTGGTTTATTGTTACATAAGAGATGAGCAATATAGTGAGCAAGAGTAGGCACAGAGGTGCATAACTGTAGAGATGAGGAAAGAAATCTAGGAAAAATCATTTTTTTGCTAAAAATAAAATTCCACATAAAATGTCTGAGAGCCAACAGATAGAGTAAGTGTGGCCTTACGGCGACATGAACCAACACAGAGGAGTTTTGCAACATTAATCTTACATTAGTTGCTCCTGTCTTGCTGGTTCCAGGGTACGGCTCAAAGATGTAGACATTGTTGGCGTACGAAGCTGCAATCTGGAAGGAAAATAACACAAAGGTTAAAACTACACCTTATCTACATTCCAGAGAACACTTTGTACAGATAACATGAGATGTTGGTACCATCATGAAGTTGAATGCCCTAGGAGATGCATACCTGGAAGTATTGTTTTCAGCAGTAGGTTTGTATACAAGGGCGGGGGGGGGATTGACAGGCAGAATGACATGAGGTCAAAAGGTCAGGCACAGGAAATGGGGTGAATGTGGCCTTGAGCCACCAGAAATGTGGTGGTTGACATGGGAGAATTCAGCAGGCAGAGGATCACATACTTGCTGCAATCCTCTGTGACTGTCATTAATTTTCAACCTGCTAAGGTAAAATTTATATTGGTTACTGGGTTAGGCAGCAGGGAGAAGGTTGATTGCTATAAAATGAACACATGCTGGAACAGTTTTGCATGACTGATCAGGCAGCTGAAAATGACCAATTGTTGTGAAAGCTTTGTCTCATTTCCCACATCACTAATTACTGCATTTTCACCACTTCCTGCACAGTCACATTGTGCCCACAAAACAGCCATTAATGCCAGCCCTCAGCTCATACACCTGTCATCCAACACTGATGAGTAAGACTGAATCAGGTTGTGCCATCTCCACGTAGACTCTGATTCTTCCCTCAGATTTCCACATGGACATCGCCTGGACTTATAGAAGCTCTTGCCTTGGGCAAGGATTTATATCACCTGTCACAGTTGGTATGGCTATGTCAGTGTCAACTCTATAACAGCTTCCAAATCAGCACCATGGACTTCACTAGCCTGATGCAGGGTCTGTGGGAGGTTTTTTGTGTAAGGGCCGACATTGGTTAGGCTGTTACACCAGTAGGACTTCTGTATAACAGCTACCAAATCAGCACCATGGACTCCACTACCCTGATACAGGGTCTGTGGAAGGTTTATTTCTGTAAGAACTAAAATTGGCTCATCTGTCACCCATGGTTGCTATGCAGAATGTCACAAAGCATGACAGGACGTTGTATGTTGTATTATTACCTTTGTCTCGAAGGTTATGCTTTAGGTAGCATTTGTTTGAATGTTTAGATGCTTGGGTGTTTCTATGTGATTTCATGTAGGTTAACACCATTTGGCGACGGTATCAATGAAGCAGTATTTCTCAGAAAAACTAAGACATAATGCCTGCCTACCTTTCCATTCTGCGAGCAGTCCACACATCCCACCTGGATGTTGCCTCGCGATGTTCCGGGGAAGATCTGGACACGCTGAAAATCGCTGCCCAGAATGACCAGATCACATCCCGACCCATACGCCTGGAGGGAACAACAACAGCAAAAAAACTTAATATCATAAAAATAAACATGTTTTATGACAATGTCCTTAGAACTGCATTTAAGATAACCCTTAGGCCACGTTGATTTGATTATATGGATGACATCCTCTGGGAACCCCAAAACTGATGCGAGCGTGCGAATAAAAAAAAAGTTTTGCAAAAAAAAAAGTTGCTTTCCTTATGAAATCTACGTGGTCATGAAGATTGAACAAATGACACAGGGTATGGTATGGCGAATAATCTACTCTTCAAATTCATTTCTTTACATTTTCGTCTTTTTCGTTTGGTTTTGACATACTACGACATTGTTATTGTTTTCCAATACTTTTTGTGCAACTTACAGTATATATTTGCTCATTTTGCAACTGTTTTGTACGATTTACAGCATGGTTGAAAACTTTTTTTTTTTGGAAACGGCCGAAAATTGATGCGCGCGCGGATGTCATCCATATAATCAAATCAACATGGCCTTACTGACACAAGCAAAATAACAGCAATAGTCAGTCAATACACAATGACAGATGCGTTCATGACAATTTACAGTTTAAACAATTCAAACTTTATCAAGGCCTCTGGTAAATAATTCTAGTCAGATTCAGTTAACACATTTAAAAATTAAATATAGTCACCAGAATCACAATAGAGAAATGTGCACACACTGATCGTAGCAATGCTAACAGCAGTAGGTTCCTTATTTTTATTCTCAAAAGAAAAAAGTACATACTACTGGTCTATCATTACCAGGGTTCTTGCCAGGGTTTTGTTTTAGCACCATGGTAATTGTGAAACAACTGAAAAGGGGCTGGTGATAAAGTGGGGTCAACCCTTCTACATGCATAGAAGAGCTACATGTATTCACACTCACTCACTATCCTGGTAACAAACAAAAAAGGTGGCATACTAAGGGTACCAAGGTGGATATTTTTTTTAGACCCCATGGAATTAGAAGGATGGTTATCAGTTTGGAGGGTCATATCAACATTTTTCATATTTGATCTGATGTTTGATTTGATATTTGATACACTGTAAGTAATAAATACATGCACTAACTTACACTAGTTGGAAATAAATGTAATGGTTATTAATTAACCACAGTAGTCACGAAATCAAATGTTATATAGCCAGTCAGACGCTAAAATGTGCTAGTTAGGACCCCATCAGTTGGTTTCACACACCACACAATTTATCAAAGTGGCAAGCCAAGGACCTTTCTTCTACACAAGGGTCATCCACTACATGAATGGCTGGCATGAACATTACCCCTTAAACTATTTAACAAATGGCTCCTCCATGGTACAGATTTAACCCCACTACTGGTAATACCATCATGGCTGGAGTATGTCACTATGTACATGTAGACCAAGTGTTCTCTGTTTTCTCTTCTAGCTTGTGAGACAACTTCAGACAAGCAACTTGATTGGTTTGGCTTTCAAATTCTTTGTATTTTTAAATGATGTCAGAATCATCTGCCAGTGCTTCACTTTTGACCACAGTGGTCTGGATCACTGATCGACTTAAATGTAACCTTACGTAATAAACGCGGAAGGAAACATTGTAAAGTCCTTTACTGGTTGTATCTGCAGTTTTATCTACATTTCCCGTCATGATTCCCTAGCTGGCTGTCCTGAGCTCAGGTGTTAGCGGCCGTTTGGTTTACTGCTAATCACAGCCCAGGCTATAAAGGGTGATTCTACAGCAATAAGACGTGCCACAACGTGACATAACTAAAGACAGGCCCCTCCACATCCCCAGGTCAGGATCACCAATCAACGCTATCGTGTTCCCAATCAATACTTACATAACCCTTTATTTTGGGCCTGATGTTGCCTCAGAGGATCAGTTGGGACTCTTTATAGGCAAAGCAGGGCTCCAAATACTTTCTTCTACCTACCTATAGTATACTAATGCAGATAGCATTGGAAATACCGGTAACCTACACCAGACTAATTTTAAATGTGCCACTGTACTAAAAGTAGATTTTACAGGGTATGCATGAAACTAGATTAGAAACTGTTCAGAAACCTTTTGAATTCTATATTTTGCAGCTGGTGACACACAGTACAGATTACAACAATTCACAGATATTTCTGTTCCCTATACTGGGATGGTGCTGGTTAGGTGCAGGACAGGACTCCAGATTAACTTTTTTACTCAGGAGCACTGGTGCTCCCAACCCAAAACACAACAAACTGGAACTTCTGGCTGAGTATTTCATGAGCAACCCTCCTACAGTTTCTGTCCTAGACCTAATTTAAGTATGTCATACAATCTCCTGGTTTCTTTCAATAAATTCATAAAAACCCAAAATATGTCCAAGAAGTCTGAAATCTTTGATTTCTTGTTTAAAATTTTTGGTATTCTACAAGAGACAGATAACACACTTCACCCAGCCAGTCTGGTACCAAATTAAAACCAGCTAGATCAAATAATACCTGGCCCATCACATTTCCACATGTCCCACAGGGACTAGCAGCAGCGTGTAGTTACCATAGGCAGGTAGAAACGTCTGCTTGCCATGGTGGGCCAGTTTAGTCATGTATGCGCCTACCTTGTATGTGTGTTTACAGAAACAATACAGTTACTTCCTGTGCTATCAAATGAACATGTCTTTTGTTGTTACAGTGGTGTAACTCTGATGAGATGATTCCTGTAACTGGTTCTGGTGACATTTTCTCATTTGCTTGCCTTTCTAAATTGGCAAAAACAATCTCATCACGAATCATGCTTGAACACACGAAGGCCACACTGATTTAATCATCTTGTTGACCCTCAGGTTTCAAATAGATGCTGCTGTGGAAAATCAACATAAAACCATATCCAGAGTCTGAGGTAAAACATCTACCAGAGTTCTAGCCAGCCGGAAATTCTTTTCCGTCATTTCAATTTTGTTTGATTTAACATCAAGTCGAGCACCTCTGGTGCCAGGTGTAGTACCGAGGTGCAACAACCCTCGGGGGGTCGAGGGGCATGCTCTTGGCCTCCTGAAATGTTATTGCCTACATTTTGTGGGTAGTCTGCCAAAGATTCCTGCAAAATTTTCTCCGTCAGGAGAGGCAAAATTCTGTCAAATGACGGACACTGGCTAGAACACTGCTCGATACAGATATTTTGGAGAATGGGCGGGAGTGAATATACAGAGTCAGGTTCATACCGTGGCCGACAAGTACAAAATTTTACACCACAACTTTTGATGTTTTACACCGCAACTTTTGGTGTTTTACACTGCAACTTTTGGTGTTTTACACTGCAACTTTAGGTGTTTTACACTGCAACTTTTGCTGTGTTTTACACTGCAACTTTTGCTGTGTTTTACACTGCAACTTTTGCTGTGTTTTACACTGCAACTTTTGGTGTTTTACACTGCAACTTTTGGTGTTTTACACTGCAACTTTTGCTGTGTTTTATACTGCAACTTTTGCTGTGTGGAAAACTTACACCCCTCCCCTTTTATAATGGACGGTCCCCCTGTCAGGTCAAAGGTGACAAAGATGGCGGCGTCACAGTGTCTACATTTGTATACGAGCGATCGCTGTTTTTGTTTACATTATACGCATGCAAATTATTTGAATACATATGCAAATTCTTGGTAGGCAAATCAGCCAACTGGCACCCACTTTTTGCCTACGGTGACGTCATGGCGATCGCTCGTATTGTTCCCTAATGATCGATAACTTACCTGAGTCAAGAGTCAACACTTCATAATTGAAAATAAGTCTTTATTGCTTCATAGTACCAAGTGGTGCCACATTTGACTCCCATAGGCCCAATATTTACTCATCAAATTATTAGCGACCTTGCGAGTCCGAATTCTCTAGCTAGAAAATGTCACGTGACTCAAAGGCGGGGAAACGTGGAAGACGACTATCGCCGCATGCAAGCGTTTATGACATCATGCCACGATAGTTTAAGCTAATTACATATTTACGCCTTCAGACAGACATCATTTCTATCATACCATGCGTCGACATCAACACGTAGCGGTGCAAACGTTACCAACATTCACTAGATAGCAACATAATTTGTAATCACTGGACCTGGTCGAAACATTTTTAAATTTATCCCGATCTATAGGCCAAAGCTAGAAAAACCTTTAGAAAAAACTAACGTCACAACGTAGCCAAGCTTTTCCTCTAAAAAACTTATGCACGAAAAGGATAACTCAGTCGACGTAGTTTGCATGCCATCGTTGTCACCTTTGACCTGACAGGGGGACCGTCCATTATAAAAGGGGAGGGGTGTAAGTTTTCCACACAGCAAAAGTTGCAGTGTAAAACACAGCAAAAGTTGCAGTGTAAAACACAGCAAAAGTTGCAGTGTAAAACACCAAAAGTTGCGGTGTAAAACACCAGAAGTTGCGGTGTAAAATTTTGTTCTTGTCGGCCACGGTAGGTTCAGGTTTTCCTGTCAGTCTTGTACTTTCGTACTGACCTCTGGCTACATCTTTACTCTGAAATGTCTTGGACCAAATAGACTGGACTGTGCCAAGCTTACTGTTCTATATTTTGAAAGGAATCAACATTGTTGTACAAATATATGAAGACAATCTTAAAGATATGGGAATTACAGTAGGAGTGCAGCTGGCATGCAGAATGTCTATTAGTATATGTCCTAATACCTTCATGGTTCATATATACTATGCCTTATCTGAGAGAGGCATCTTCTAATAATAAAAGCTGAACATATCAGATCTGTATTCATCTTTTTGATCCTTGGACTTATAGGTATTGTACTACTAAGGCTGATTTAAACAAGAAAAAAAATCATCCATTTTGTATGATTTTCTTAATAATGTTGATAATGACTACAATTATAGCATTACTTTCCTTACCCTGTGTTGACATCTTGTATTTAGGCAAAAATAATGTATCTTATATACATGTACATGTTATTTCTTAGTTACCATGATAGTCCATATTCACCTGAAGAACTGACGGCCAACTGATGACCTCTAACTTGTCAGGCTGTCTGGGCCTGTATGGT